TGGTGACCCCGGGGTGGGGGGAGAGGCCGGGCTGGATCTCAGCGCCGGCGTTCTCAGACGCTGCCTGTTTCTCCGGCGTGTGAGGCAGCCTGCTGTAGCTACCAGAATGCATTCTTTATTTATTTATTTTCATTTTTTTTTTTTTTTTCCCCAAATCCCCCCCGTGTAACAAGCCCAGGCTTCGTTTTTAACCACCACTCACAAGGAGAGCAAAAGTTCACAGGGCTCCGTTGCGAGGGAACCCGGCGGGCAAGTGGAGCTGGGGCTGAATAAACGAGTAGATGTAGCAGAGGAGAGACATTTATTTCAGAAAAATAATGATTTACCTCGTGGCAAATATTAACCGGAGGATGCACGACCAAAAATTGAAGGGCTCAGCCACCAGTTTACTCTCTCCTTTTGCTTGTTTTTGTGCAATTTGTCAGCTTAGAAGCCATTAGAAAGGCAAGAGGCATAAATATTTTACTATTTCAACATGAAACAGTAATGCCTTAAGACGTGGACTCGGTATTAAAAAAGAAACCCAAAATATTCAGCCTTTGGCCCCATTCTTGCTGGTGTGCTCCTTCTGGAGCCTGGCAGGGACCCACTGGTCCTCGGTGCCCGCGTGTAGGTTTCCCGGGCGCAGTCCTGCAGCCCTCCCCGTCCCTTTATCGGGGTGACTAATGGAAGGCTGAAATTGCCCTGTTGTCTTCAGTAAACAGGATCGGGCCTGTTTACTATATTTAGTATTGGCTCGGATTAGCAAATCAAATGTTTTCTCCTTGTCACTGGTAAGGTGATATTTGTGCAATGTGTTTCCGTGGGGCTGGAGCTGCCTGTCGGGAAGGGCCAGTGCAGGGAGGGCTCGTACAGTGGATGTGTGTCTGTTTTGCAGCGTGCACTGATTCAAAGTGGGGCTGGGAATAAAAAACACACACCAGGGATTCTTTTCTCCCTCGTTTCAGCGCACGGCGTTGCCTCCTGCGAGCGAGTAGCCCTGTTTAAACTGGGTGGGTGGACTCGCTATCTTGTAGGTGAAGAGTTTGCCGGCTGAGGCGTGCGCGCAGAAAATGTCTGATATTCCCGAGTAGCAGGGCAGGATCTGTGGAAAAACGAGGGGAGAACAGTCATTTTCTCTCCCGCCATGCAAAGCGTATATTTTTAATTGGAAAAAAAAGTAAGTTTTGCAAGTCAGAGTGGGCAGGTTTTTTCTTCTATTCTGACAGATTTGGTCTCTATATTGTAACGCAGAGATGACTGATAACCCCCTTCATAAAATTAGAAACCACACCCCCAGACCATCTGGCATATTACTTAAAGAAAAACACTACCCAACATGCAGCTTATCATTGTATTCAAAAAAGAAAATCCAGGCCAGTTTGTGGGAGCCCAGCGCTCGCCCGTCCGATTCGGAGAGAAACCCCCAGGGAGGAAGCGTGAAAACTGGCCGAAAAGGGGGTCTTCTGTTAATTTTGGGTGGGTGGGAGCCGGAGGTGCCGGGGAGCGGGGTCTGACCCTGTTTGGAGCAGCAGGGGAGCGTGTGCCCGGGCGGGCGCAGCTGCAGTGAGCAGAGTACAGTTTTACTACTAACAGCCAAACTCACTGAAACGGGGGCATTTCCTACACTCTGCCTGTGAAGTTCTTGGCTCAGCAGCGTGGCTCTTTTTTTTTTTTTTCTCCTTTTTCCCTCCTCCCGCCTCACCTCTCCCATCTGTCCCGTGGGAGGCAGAGTTCATTTTGTCACCTATTATGTTTGCCTCCCGCTGGGGACAGATTTTGCCCCGCGTGAGGGGGACGCGGGGCCGAGCTGGGTGGCAGGGTGTGAGGGCAGCAGGCACCGGGGCACCTTAGGCCACCTGAATTTTAACAGCCTTTGGGTAAGAACGGGCAGAGCGGGGTCTGTTCAGCAGAGAAATGTTCCACAGGAGCGGTGTGCTGCCATGGAAAAGTGTGGAGTTTGCAGCAGAGCACCCATCAATGGGAAAAATCTTGGGTTGAGTTGGTGGCTTGTGGCACGGCGCTGAGCTTGGGGGTGTTACTTGGGGGTGTTGGCTTCCCTCACCCCCCCAAAACACCACGAGAGGTGGGCACCAACCCCTGCCCCCTGTTTTCCCCCAGGCAGCCGGAGGCACCGCTCCTCCTCCTTTGCAGTTGGTCCATCAGGTCTAGGTAAAGGGGAAAAAACCACCCTAAACCAAACAGGACCTTGCAGGCTCTCCTAATATTTCCTTTAATAGATCAAAGTTGAAAACTTCATGACATCTCCCCGCAGTTGGATGTCAGAAGGGCGGATTTTGCATCAGCCAGAGAGAGGAGATCAAACAAGCAGGTTGACGTTGCCTTGGGCTTTCTGGCTCTAGGACCCCTTTGTAAGACAGACCATTCCAGGTTTTTTGGTTTTTTTTGTGCGTTCCACTCAATTCCTGAAAAAAAGAGATAATGAGAATTTCCTTAGTTGCTGCTGTTGGCACTGGAAGTCCTGGACCTCTGCTTCCTGGATGCACATCAAAGTGACATCGACAGGGGTTTGCGTTAGGAGCGAGGGTCGTACCTCACACGAAACCGTTTGGGAAGGAGACGGCAACGCCAAAGTGAAAATTGATAAACAGAAAATAGCAGTAGTCTTGGGATGCTTTCCACATGCTTATTTGGGGAGAAGAGTAATCACGTATTGGCAGAATGTCACAGGAACTCTGTGATTTATACTCCATGACCCCATGGAAGAATGCCAATCTGACAAAAAAGAACAATTTCAGCTACACTAATGGATTGACCAAGGCTAATTGCGAGAGTTTTTCTACCCATCATTGATATGTTGTCAGTACAGAAAAGGTTACAGAGAAATTTCTTGATCGGCTGCCACGAAAGCATTTTTTTATTATTAAAACGTTAAAAGAGAGCTGCATTAATCTGGCTCGGTACAGCATCCTCCATCTTCGCTTAGTGACAAGCAGCGCTCAATTTCTAAACTAAGAACCACCCGTTTCTAGGCTTTCTGCCCTAAACCTGGCTTCATGAGGCGCTGAGCACCCGTAAACCCCCGTTCCCTTCCCTAAGAGCTGAAACACCTTTTCCCGCGACTTCATGCTCCCAATTAGTTCATTGAGGGGAAAAATTGATGCAAATTCTGACATGGTTTGTTTGGGAATCCTTTTGCTGGATTGTAAATTGGGTGTTGGGCTTCTTTAACATCAAACCAGAGAGTGCTGTTTGTCGTTAGCGCAGCATCGTTGTGTTTGGGAAATGAAAGCAAGTCTCAGGGTCACACACCCAGGGTCAAGTGTGGGTTTCAAAGCTGAACTTTCTGATTTCTCAGTCCTGCTCGGGCTGGACTCCTGTTGGCTTAAGGATTGCTTGGAGAGCAGTGATTTTCCCATTGACTTCCCCGGGAAATGGCATTCCTTCCAAATGCCTGCAGGGACCAGGGGGGACACCAAGTGCCTTTAGCATTAGAGTGTCTTCTGGCACCCGCCATGTGCTCCGTTTATTTCAAAAAAATACCCAACGTTGATGCTGTGTCGATAAAAATAATCCAATTTGTGATATGCATAATGCATTGGGGTTTGAGTGGAAGTTGTGCAGTCTGCTGTGCTAGCTGTGTACAGCTCCTCCTTAACCCCCCCAGCGAGGCAGGAGCTTAGGAAATGATATACATGCCTAAGATATGTAGCGAGACAGTGAGATCCAGTATGAGCCAGAGGCCTTCTTCACCTTAGAAATCATCTTAGAAGCAACACATGCTCCTCGACGTGTCATTTTGCTTTACAAACACGATGATGGGATATGGCTAATTGCAGCTGAGTTGAGCAGTTATATATAAGCACATGGCTCAACATATTGGTGAGCTGATCGTACTATTCCTTTAGTCCTACCAGTTCCTTCAAACGAGACAGCAAGAGATGGGTGGTGTTAGGAGGGAGCGCTGACGGCTCCTCGTCCCAGGGTGATGTCTGTGCCCACCAAGCAGTTCGGTTTAGAGGCACTAGTTTTGTCTTTAACCTTATTAAAACGCTGTTTGCACGCAGACAGAGATGATGCTTGCTCTGAGCCTCGCCTGCATCTCACCCCGAGCAGAATTGGTGCTGCTTTCTTTCGAGGATCACCCTGTTGCCTTAACGGGAGGGAGAGGGTGTGAGGGCTCGGAGCTGCCAAGAGGGAGGTCCCTGTGAAGGTGTTGGGTGGCAGGGTGTTGGGAGAGGGCTGGAGGGACGTCAGAAGGGGTCCTGGTTTTGCAGGATCCATGCTGTGTCAGGTGGATGGCCTGGTGCCACTGGAACGGGATGCAGGAGCTCTGGCTCCAGGCCCCAGCTCCGTCGCAGGCTTCCCGGGGAGTCTCAGGAGAGCCATTGTATTTACCCCACTGGATGAGTTTTCTGGAGCGTGGGGTACAAGGAAAGCAGAAATAAAAGCTGTCGGTCGTTGCTGTGTTACGTGACAGGGCTGGGACTGCGAGTCAGGACCACTCTCAGCTGGTCAGGCTCCAGAATTTCCCATCCAAATCAATGGGAAACATGCACTCTACACAGGAGGCAGGAGCCAACTGGTTTGGGTAAATTGAGAGTCTAGATTTCACACTGACTTACTTCAGAGGAGGATTCCTATCTCAGCTGGTTAGGAAAATAGACAGGGCCAGTGGGTGATGCTGGCACCACCTCTTGGACCTCCCATTTCACCGTCTCTCTGCTGCTCTGATAGCGTTTGCCAGGGAGCGAGGACAGACCTCGAGGCACAGAGCTCTCTGTGAGGTGCTGGAGGCACTGCTCTGATAGCGTTTGTCAGGGAGCGAGGACAGACCTCAAGGCACAGAGCTCTCTGTGAGGTGCTGGAGGTGCCACCATCCTCACATCCCACCAGGCTCTGCAGGCCATTTCACCAGCAGCACGCTCCTTAGGGCAGGATTTCTTGGGGACAAGGAGTGGGTTGGTTTGTAGAGCAGACCCTTAGGATGTGCTTTACTCACAAAGCTGAGAATGAAACAAGCTCCAGAGTCTCAGGCGAGGAACTGGAGGCAGGGAGTGATGGTGCAGAAGGTGGAGTGTAGGATGCTGGTAGCATGTAGGGAGGGTAATTGAGTACTCTAATAACCTTCTGCATCTTTTAGTGTACACAACAGTTTTCTTTAGAGTCAGCAGTGAGACCCTGAAGCTCTCCAGCCGTGTTCCAGAGAGCACTCCAAGCAGCAGAGTGCTAACCCCTTTCCTTGTGGCCTGCCAGAATTTGTGTTGCCGTCCTCAGTTTGGTTCCATCTTCCTCATCCCCTCTTTGCAGATGGTGCTTGTGGTTTTGGGAACCCCGCTGCCTGGGACACGACCTGAGCTGCTTCGCTTCACAAAACCAAATAGCTGGAGCAGTTATTTAGTTGGGTTTTTGTTTTTTGTTTTTTTTTTTTTTTTTCTTAATGATAAATGAAATGCCAAGTTTTCCATCTTGGCTTTTTCTCATGGCCCCTTAACCCATGTGGTAGGCTTATTTAGGGAACAAGACAAGCCTGGATGCAGTCCCAGAGCTTGCAGTAGCTTCAGATGCCCCTCCAAAGGTTAGGATACTTCACAGGGGATTTGTTCTGCAACAGAGAGGCTAAAAGGAAACCCAGGCTAGTTACTTCTTGCTTTTTGATTCTGTCCCAGTACTGCCCTGAAAACCAAGCAAGAGAAAACGTACAGAGGCAGCATTGTTGCTGCTGGGCGTGTAATACCTTATTTTCTACCCCAACCTCCTGCCAGAACTTAAAAAAAAACAACCTTCTTGTAAGAAACATTTCACGTGAAATATCATTGTTCTTATTTCTACACCTTTCCAGTCAGAAAAGCTTTATTGTGCCTTTCCCATAAAGGTGCAACTGTTTTGCTTTAGGTACGGTTTTGTGTCACAAGAGTGTGCAGTGTTTCCAGGATATTGGATATTATGGATATTAGAATTAAATTTTGTTTGCTTATACATGACATGTCACATCTGTGTCTTCCCTGCCTTATGCCCTTGCAGTTGAATTGATGGGAGTTAAACTAGACTGAATTGCAGCAGGACTTGGTCCTGGGCACAAGGCTTATATCTGTGGAGCAGCGTTTGGCGACGTCCGTGCGGATAATGTACCTGAGGTTTAATATTTTCTTTCCTGTTTCAGGATATGAGGATGTTTCAGAGACAAACTTGAGACCTTACAGCGTTCATTCTGCTAAACATGCGCAGGAGAACCGTCCCGTGCCCATCCGCAGGAAAAGAAGCATCGGTAAGAGACGAGCTGTTGGTGCTGGGGGAGTGAGAAACAGGGGGGGGGCTTTTGGTCAGCGGGGCGGGACGCTTCACTGGAAACATGTCACACACACACAAAGGGAAAAAGGCCATTTCTGGTTTCTGCCTTTCTTTTTTTGCACAAAACGGGCCGTTGCCCGAGAAGGCTGTCTTCTGGAGGATGTCCATAGGAGACAGACAAGCACAAATTCTTTACATTCACCGTCTTGTTGCAGCATGTTAGAAAGCTAGACCTCGGCTGGAAAATGCTGTGATATTCAATGTATAATTCATAGTGTGGGGAACAACTACAGCAGTGTGCTTTAAAAAACATCAACAGTTGGTAGAGTTTTCAGTACAGAAGCTCCACAAAAGGAAACAGCTTGACTTTTTTATTCAAAAGAAAAAAAAAAACAGTTTATCCAAAAAATTAAAAGCCATTGAGGGAAACGCTGGGCCACTGATTTCCATCATTGCTTCTCAGGCATGTTTACAGGGGATTTTTTTCTTAATAAACAATAATGATGGTGATCCAATGGAGGCCAGATATAAATATAAAGAGCTGTTAAGGAGCTTTGGAATGGGATTTGTATGCAATGCTTGTTCATCTGATCAGACCTGGTTGACTCTAAAGAGCAGGGGCTCCGAAACAGTCGGCTGCACTTGGCACCTCCCCCTGCAAGGTGCTGGATGCCTCCCGAAAAAGTCAGCGGGAACTGGATATGCTCAATAGGACTTGCCAGCTCTCTTGCAGTACTGGATCCGTTCATTTTCTTGAGTTCATGGCACTGGGGATTGAGAAGAAGGATTTTCACTCTATTTAGCCGAGTGAAATGCATCTCTTTCAAAACCAAGCCGAGATTTTCATGTTGCAGGCACAGGCCGGGCCTGAACTTCTTGTACTTCAGGAGTAACTGAAGAAGTGCAGGCAGTGTTTCAGTTCCCTGACACATTTAACCCAAAGCTGTCACTGCTTCCTCTGTAAGGCAAAAAAACCCCAAGCTCCCTTCACAGAACAAGCTGTCCCTGCAATTGGTATTACTTTCTGCACTGATTTGAATTGCCAGCGTGGCTCCTAGGGCAGTCCCTAGGTTGAGAATGATACCCGGGTTGGATTTTTCACAGCAGCATCATGCAGCAGCACAGGGATACTCTTTATAATCCTTGGCTGAAGCTGTGGTCCACAAGATCACCTTGTCCTGCCCAGCAGGATACTGGTTCAGCTGCAGGTTCTCCAGTCGTGCTGGTCTTGTGGTTTTGCCTCATTCGAGGAATAATAAATTAAATAAACCCCAGCGTGTTCAAAGCTTTGGTAACTTTATTCAGAAAAATGGCAGCTGCCCTTTGGGATGGCAGATGGACCAGGGGGATGTTGAGGTTTTGGTGGTGGAAACCCAAGACTTGGAAGTTTGGAGCTGGCACAGGTTGTTTCCTGGCTCAGCCAATTTGGGTGTGATATAAGTGTCATCAGTGCAACTTCCATGGTGGTATTCTCCAGGTCTTGCACGTTTATGTGATAATATGTGTGTGCAGTGATGGCTCCAATACTGTAAAACAACGCTGCTGTTGGGCAGTGGCTGTGGGGCTGTGTTGGAGGATCATCTAAGCTGGAGGAGCTCCTGGCTTGCCAGAGTTGTCGTATCTCATGGTATGTAGGGAGCCAGCCCATGGTAAACCCTCATTTTAGAGCTGGGCTTATGGGAAGGAGTCAAGCCTTTCTTTAGGCTAGAACACACAGCTCAGTGGCACCCAAATGGTGCTTAGCACTGAACTGAGAACATCTCAGCCCACCAGCTAAGGGTGCTGCTGTAAAGTATCGGGGTGCTCTGGAGTGGGAGCAGCCGCTCACCGGGCAGTGTGAATTCCTTGTGTTCACAGAGGAAGCCATCCCGGCCGTCTGCAAGACACGGACGGTTATATACGAGATACCTCGGAGTCAGATCGATCCCACCTCCGCCAACTTCCTGATCTGGCCGCCCTGCGTGGAGGTGAAGCGCTGCACGGGCTGCTGCAACACCAGCAGCGTCAAGTGCCAGCCCTCGAGGATACACCACAGAAGCGTCAAGGTGAGCACCCGGTGGCCACCGAGCCCCAGGAGGGTCTTCCAAGGTCTAAAATCTCCAGGAGTTTTGGTGGTTGCTCAGTGTGTCCCAGGTCTCCGTGAGCCCCCCTCGCAGGCGCAGGGTCAGACACTACGCTCCGCTCCCTTCCGAGTGAGCAATGGCCTTTCCCAAGTTCCACGATCGCTGGAGAGTCTTTGGGCTTGGATGTGATTTTCACAGGATTCCCTTTAGGTTTTGCTTCTTTGGTAATGAAAATAAAGTCGATCGTGTCTTTCCCATGATCTCTCGCAGCACAGATCTTAAAAGTTAAGAAGATAAAATGACTCAAGGGGCATTGGACTTAAAAAAATAAATAAATCACAGTATGGAATGCTGTTTTCTTAATTGAATATTATGCAGGCTAAATTGGGCTTTTATATTTGACAACATAACACTTTTGATCTGAAAAAATGTGTTTCAAATTATCTTACCCCAGGGATAGAAGACTCAACGGCTTCATGCTGTATTTACTCATTAGACGAAATCCCTGTTGCAATTTTCCAGTAAATATTACGTGAAATATTTCTTATGTTCATTCGGCTTCACAGTGTTCTAATATTTATCAGTATTTAAACAAGTAATGTTGATTTATATCTGCGTGCAGGAGATTAGACTTACACTTAGCATTTACATTGTTAAGACTCTGAGTTCTTGTTGGCCCTGGGTATTTTAAGAGCAGAATTAAAAAAAAAAAAAAGCCAACACATTCTTGAACATAAAATTGCCCAGTGCAACACGCTGATGGCTGCGCTTGCAAGGGATTAATTATTGAGAAAGGTGCTGTTAACCCCTGTAGTGCTGTAGGTCCTAAGCACAAAATGTTGTTTTTCATACACCTGGGCACGCATTTGAGCAGGATTTCTTTTTCCTTTCCATTTTTGAACATCTGAAAAATGCTTTCACATCCCAATAAACTGGAGAAACATCTGAACAGATTCCCTCAGTCTTTCGAAAAGTAACTACACTTCACGTGTGCTTGCTGCCCGCCCTTTGGGGGATACTCTTTACAGAAACAGTTGAAAATGAGGAAGAAATTGGGATCAATAATTATTCGAAGGTTGAGAACAAATTGGGGAAGTTGAAGAGCTACAATTCTAAGCCCTTCAGAGTAGGAGCTAAACAGCAAAGTGCCTTAGGGTTGTAATATCTCGTGCTGTTGGCTTTGGGTTTGATACAGCCATGTATTGTGGACCCCGTGCTTGTTTCCTACCCGGGCCGTGATGGGATGGGTGACAGAGAGAGGGGTTTGGCTGTCGGGGTCCCCCGCTGCTGGGGACGCCGTGGGTCCCTGGAAGCTCCAGACCCCACAGCTGGCAGCAACCTTGCAGGATGGCATTGCTGGGGCTGCCACCCCAGCCCACTGCCACCCCAGAGAAATCTCCATTTCTCATTCAGTCCTCCCATACGGTTTTAGCGCTTCTGGATTTGCATTCATTTCAACAGGCCGCAAGCTAAAAGTAGGTTCAGCCGAGCAGCTGCTTTTTGTGGCTGTGTAAATATATTGCCACCAGCAATATCAATATACGTCAGCTGGCTTTGGAGGACTTTTTTTTTTTTTTTTTTTTTTTTTTTTTTTTTTTTTTTTTTCTTTCCAAGCTCCAAGACTGCTCCAAACAGTCATTAAGTAGAAGGGGAAAAAAAGGACAAGAGGTCAGGCAGGAACAGGATGTTCATTGTAAAGGTTGTAGGCTGACCCCACTGTCACACCAGAAATCTCTGAACAGAATCCGTATTTATGCCCTCCAGAGTCAGATCCTCTTGTAGCTTTGATATAATTGATGGTTTTATGAGCCTTTCGCCAGTCCCAGGTTCAGAGCTGAACGTCTGCTCTTGCCATTAAGTAGCTGGCCCAGAGAGAGGGTCGCTGGAGAGGTAGGGGGAACGGTTTTGGAGAGCCTTCTCGGCCGTCCCTGCCGTGCGGTTGGAAAAGCCGTCTTGTGTTTTCCCCCTGATGTCAGACTGCATAAAAGCCCTCTTTTGATTAAAGATTGAAAAGGCTTTCCCCGCTTCCTCCTCATTGACAAGGTAGTGAGCTCATAGCTGGCCCATTCACACTAGGAAAATGTTCCCCCAGAAAGGTCACCAAGTGGGTTTGCATCATCCAGCGGCCGAAAGCAGCGGGTGTTTTCTTTGTCTTACTGAGAGCCTCTGTAATCGAGGGTAAGAGACGGCCGTGGCAGTGTGGGAGGAGCAGTGGAGGGCATTCCTGTCTTGGGGACACGATTTGAAGGCTGTAGGCTTTGGGGATGTCCTTCTTTCGCCTTCACCACCCCTTGGTCAGTGAAGTGCCATTAATGGGCTTGTGGAAGTGGAGCTGTGGGGAGGCTCTGAGCAAAGATTGTTGGTGGAACAGCTTCCCCCAAATGGGTGCTCTGTCGTTTCCCCTTCTTGGGGTGGGTTAATAAAAGGTGGGTTTCCCCTGCACCCAAATAGAGTGAGCCCATGGGCCTCCTGGCCCTAAAGAAATCCCCATTCAGCAAGTTGGACCTTGGTTGAAATAAAGCAGCTGGTTGGGAGTTGCTCTTCCATAGGAAGGAAAGAATGGGATTTCTCTCCTGATAGAGAAATGGTGGCAGGGATTGGTGAGCTTAGGGGTGCTGGTGTCTCTTACAGATGGATTGCCTCTCCTGTCTGCAAAAGCATTTCAGTAACATCTGCAGATTCGGTCGCTTCTGCACAGCGAGATCAAGTATTTACCAAGTACCAGTCCGTAATTTATGTGGGGGGTTTCTGAGCTGAGCCTTCCCCAGAGGTTTCTTGTAGTGCTGAGCATGATGTTCTTTATGTTTTTGGTCACGGCAGCAAAATCCAGTTAATATTATAGAGCAAATCCTGCCTATACTGCTAATTTTGAATAGCCGAGCTGAGTATTACGGTTGTTTGCAGCAGCACTCATTTCCAAACTAAGAAACAAGAGCTAAAGCACTCCATCTCCCTCAGCTTTGCCTTCTGCTTGGCCTTGAGCCACAGTCATGGCAGCATTAGCCATTTCGGAACACTCAATGTTGAGGTGATTTGGGGAAATTTAACCTGGGATATTCTTACAGTAGATTACTATGAGGGAAGGACACAGAGAAAAGGAACTGGAAAGGAAGGAATGGAGGAGCAGCTCCTCAGCTCTCATCTGGGAGGTTTCGAAGAGAGATGGGGAAAAAAATGCAGGAATTCAAACCAGGTTGTTGGGCAGAGCCACCTGGCCTCTGAAGAGGTTAAAAAGGCCTCGCAGAACAAATTGCACGTGTAGGTAAAATGGCTGTATGTCATGTTTGCCAGCTTAAGAAGATTTTTCTTCAGAGACTCTTCCTATCATTAGGATAAACAGCACTTTGATTTTAGCTGTGGCTTAGCTGGAGATTGCTGCCAGGCCTTGGTGGGACCAGCAGGCAGGACCAGCTGACAGGAATCAAGGGTTGATTTTTGAAAGGGATAAATAAGGGAGGCTCTGATGCAGGTGAAGACAAGATGGAAAAGCAGAGCGGTGTCCTCAGAGTATGAGAGGAACTCCTGCCACGGCCAGTCGCCTGATAGAGGGTAAGGTGGCTACTCCCCGTTGCAAAGAGAGGACATACAGACACCCTATCAGCCATTTTCTCCCCTGAGGTGTAGTGGCTTTGCTGCAGCCTCTTCCCCTTCTGCCCCCGGACCCTTCTTCCAGCCGAGTCCCGCCTGAGGCGCCGCCAAACCGCCCTCAGCGGCTGTTCCCGCCCCGGAGTCTCCCTGCTGCCCCCCCGGCGCCTTCCCAGCGCGCCCCGCGGCCGCCTCGGCCTCCCGCCCCGCGGGGACCGCGCTGCCGGGCCGGCCCGCTGCCCGAGGGGGCTTCCCGGGGCCGGGCCGGGCCGCACCTCCCCGCCCGGGGCTGTGAGGGGAATTTCCGTAGCCCCGGGCACTGAGAGGGCCCTGGCCTGACGCTGTGAAGGAGGGCTTCCCTCTGTCTCAGGCCCTGACATGGCCGTACCCCCCAGCCCGGGGCTGTGAAGGAGGGCTTCCCTCTGCCCCGGGCACTGACATGGCTGCCCCTCGCCATGTGCTGACAGGGCAGTGCACCCCTAGGCCCGGTTTCCCTACAGGGAAGACTCTTCCAATCCCTCCCTTTAAAATAACTGCGTGCCAGGCTTTTCTGAGTCAGGGCATTGCCAGAGGAGCGTGCTGCAAATGTCTTTAATGGGTGTTTTAGCATGGGCGGCTGCCAGGCCTCCCCGCCGGTTCCATCCCGCCTGGCAGGGCAGGCAGAGGCAGCTGGGGCCGTGGCAGGCACCGCGCCATCCTGCCCGTGTTTAGCTATCGGCCACGTGAGTTTTGCTGTTGGGAGGAATTTTCTGCACTGAGGCTTCTCCTGCAAGTTCCCGCCCATGATAAATTTTGGCTTTGTGCTAGAGGACACTTGTGCTTACGGCTTTGTGTTTTTCCTGCTGTTACTCCCTGATTTCGTCTCTCCTGGAGAAACTCTAGAAAAGGTGTTCTCATGACATTTCCATTAGGCGACATATTTTTATCAGTTTTTATTTTCATTTTTACTCAGCCACCACACCATGCTCAGGGTAGTACCTGGAGTCTATAGTGATGCAAGATTATACACCATTTAACTAAGCTAGTTGGTTATTTCACTGTCTTAGGGAGTTTTTATGTAGCGATATTTTGTGGTTTTGGAGGATTTGAGGTTGTCATGGTTTTTAGTTTTGTTGTGTTAGAGACAAGTGAAAGAAGCTGATGTTGGTTTGTTGGGGACTAACTGTCTCAAAGCATTTGGTAACATGCTCAAGGGTAACTGTGTGAGATAAACACCAGGAAGAAAAATATGAAGAAGAAAAAAAGATGTTAAGGCGAGGGCAAACCCCATGCTGTTAGAGCTATCCCTGCTCATACCCACTGAAAATCTGACCTGCAGCCTTTACCGTTTCAGACCAGCATTAATACAGATCCTGTGTGGCAGCAGGTGCTACCAGATGAGACCAGCACAGCAATTTGTCTGGTTTGTGCTGCTTCAGTGTGAATATCCGCAACATCTGACAAAACGACATTCCTTTAAATTGTGTAGCATGAAGTAGGGGAGTGGAATGTGTGCTGGATTGTATTTTAACTACAGTACCATAAAAACCAGCTTTAAATTCCTGCATAAATTCATTATGATCCTATTCTTCAAAGTATTATCTTTTTGTATGTTTTTTTTTTAACTGCTGTTTAATACCAAATAGCCACAGGAACTGCCTGTATTTTTTGGTTTGGAAAACCAAGAAAAACAGGGACAGACTTTAAAAAGCTTGATTACAGTTTATTTTTGTTACGTATAATTTTCAATAAGACTGGTTTATTCTAACAGCTGTAATAAGCATGGCAGGTCTGAAAGCTGTTTCATGATTGCTGGGTCTCTCTCTTTGTCTCTGATGATGGAGGTGTCTTAATTACTGTTTGTTTTTGTAAATTTTAAGGATTAGTCATCCTTTGATGCCAGATGACTCAGTTGTGCTATACGTTTCCAAATCTTTGCGTTCAAAGGCTTGATGGAGTTGGGTTCTGATAGGAGATTCTGAAACCTACTGCTTCGACCCACAGTTAGTCTTTTCAGCAAAAGCCACAGCCAGTTCTTTATCTGTTTATATGGAGACCAGACAGTTGGACAATACCTTTTAATGTGGACACTCAATTATTGCATCTGTCTCTCTGCAACTTTTGTTTGCTGGGTAAATGAAAAATCATCTCCAGATCCCGTTGACAGAAGAGGCAATGACTAAAACGTTTATCTGAGCTCCTCGCTCCACGAAAGCAATGGCAGGTCTCCCCTTGACTTCAGTAAGGCCAGGATTTTGCTCTGGCTTCTGTTCCTGTCACTCAGAGATCCTTGGTAGTTCATGTCTGCAGAGCCAAAGAGTGTTTCTGGGAACTGGGAACGTGATGGGGTTTTTTTCCAGTCACCACTTTCGTTCTGTGAGAGCGTTGCTCCACCTCTGGGAGAGCCAAGGAGTGATTTGCATAGTGTGAAGGTTGATTTGCAGCATTGAATCCCCACCAAACACAACAGTCAACCATTACCAGGAAAGCCTAGTGTGATTGTGGACGCTGTGTTTGATAGTAGCGGTGCCTTTTGGTTGGATTAGGCTTTATGGATTTGCCACCTAAGTTTTGTAGAGAGAACCAGTTTCTTGTCCTTCTGCTTCCTCATCTTATTTATCGTGCATTCCTGTACCGTGTCGTCGTCTTGTTTGCTGGGACAGCCACACTGCAGCCCCCTTTTGTCAAACGGTAGATAAATCATTAGTAGGACTGAGAAGCCCTGATTTCATTTCAACGATTTCCATTTCAAGTGAATGATTATCACATATTCACTCAGTGTTTAACACAATTGTGAACTAAACATTGGACCCCATACACACTGTCCAGCACTCTGCCCAGCTCTCTGCCCACTGTAGGCCATGTTCCCTCACATGCCTATGACTGTCACGCCCGTTACGCTTAGCACAAGTGTGTGCCCACCATCCCACAGCCCATTTCAGCATGTCCCTCTTCTGGCCACCAGCCCCGGGTTGGTCAGGATGTCCTCCTGTTCAGTATCCCCCCACCCCAACCTCCTCCTTGTCTGCCTTAGTTCCCTTCAGATGTGAGTCCTGCACGTAGGTAGAGTTTCTCCAGCTTCCTCCAGCCTTTGTTTTTGTGTTTTTTTTTTTTTAAGGATGGCTACTTTGGCCCAAAGTGGAGCAGTGCAGCTGGATGGACTGGAGAGGAGTAGTGTCCTGAGTTTGAGTGGTAGTTCCCTTAGACCTAAAACCAGTGCGTGGAAGCTCTTGTAACCGAGTCCCAGGTCATTGCAAGAAGGGACTAGGATTGAGATTGGTGCTTTCTAATCTGATACTCAGATCCTGGTTGTGTAGAGTGGAGTGCTTTATGTTCAGAGGGCTCTGGAGACACCAATTTGTAAATTCTAAAATGTTTTACAAACCAACCTATTGCCTTCAGTGTGAGCCTTCAGCTTAAGACCAGTGGTCAACATGTACAGAAGGCCATGCTGAAAGTGACAGTCTACGAGAGCAACCACTGATTTGAGTCTGTATAGATGTTTATTGTGATATATGTGAAAAATGAGTTGCTTAAAACTTCAAACTAAGATGAATGGGAAATTGTTTTATCTCTTGGGGGAAAAGAAAATTGTTTCAAACTGCTGAACTTGAATAAACAAATAGTCTGTGCAATAAATAGTTACATGATGCACAATTAAGATAAAAGATTATTAGCATGCTAACGTTTTATATGGGTTTGGCTACGTTAAAAAATAGAGGTATATGGTTATCTGTGTTCAGTTCTGAACTATAAGTATGTTAATGTGTCTCAGTACGTACCTCATCGTATTTTATAGGTGGCAAAAGTGGAATATGTTAGAAAAAAGCCAAAATTAAAAGAAGTTCTGGTGAGATTAGAAGAGCATATGGAATGCACCTGTACATCATCAAATACTAATTCAGATTATAGAGAAGAAGAAACTGGTATGTTTTCCTTTTATTATTGCATTAACGCTGTTTTCATATGGACCTTATTTTTATATTAGTAAAGAATGTAAAGCAAACTTTGCTTCCAGTGAACTCAGTAGAGAAGCTCCCAACTATTTCTCTGTGTGTTGAAGATGCCAAATGAGGGACAGTTTGTGCTGGTTAAAGAGTGCGAAGTTTAAAGCGTATCCATTCTCACTAGGTTAGCCTTTAAATAAATGTAAATGCCCAATAGTATTCAGGTCTTGCTTAACTAAGTTAAAGGTTGTCGTGTTGCAGCTTATTGGTGAACTCCGTTGCCTAATTTCTTTAGTCTTTGTGGAGACAGGGCTAAGGCTGAGATTTACTTGACCTTGGGGAAAATATTAATGAAATGAATGTAAAGCACTTAGGAATAAATTTCATATTCAGGAATAAGGAGTTTTGAAACAACATTGCCCCTTCCTGTTGTTTTCTTACTTATATATAGTCAATAATTTATTGTCAGTTTTCACGCTAGACCTAAGTTTGCCTTATCAAGACAACATTTTAGTTGCCACGGGGAAAGATTTATGGGGAAAAATACTTCCTTTCGATCTGACTTTCATAAACCCACTTAAAATCATTAGATCCTCTTATTAGGGTGCAATCAATGCAGAACTTGACACATATTTGGGAAACCCAGTACAGGGCACCTCCCTCTCTCCTGACTTTGGTTGAGGCAGCCTCAAACGTTTGCTTTCACCTCTACTGGGAATTTAGGGGTGCAGTATTCCCAGTCCCCAAATTAGAGTCAGTGAAGAGCAGGTAAATATAGGGAGAAAAGCTGCCCAAAGTCGATGGATTTCGTAGGTTGCTGGGTGAAAAAGGGGTTTCTGTAGGTACTGTCTCCGTCCAGCGAGACATAAATGTGTGAACGTGAACCTCAGTTGCTGTGTACAGAGCACAAGAATTACAATTTGTATAAAAGCAAAGTTAGGCCTCTGCTGTGATTTTTATTGGACATCAGTTCATAATGTGAGCTGAGTGTTTTAGCCAACACTAGGCTGAGTTATGATTTAGACAAAACCACATTTAAAGCGGTTATTTTTATGTGTGTATGGTTTGATATTTTTTCTGTCTTATTTTGAAAAAAATACTTCATTAGATCCATTTCAGTTTTCAAAAAGTCTTTAATCGCCAAAGACTAAGCAGTTAAGATTTTTTAAGATGAAAGCTTTCCTTTCTGGTGTGCGTGAAAAAAGGGGTAGAACTGTCGTGAAAGAATAGAGATTTCTAGGATTTAATTACTGATGGGAACAAAACTTGCACCAGCAAGTGGCTGGTGAGCTGAAAATAGCTTAACTACGGAGCTGAAAGCAAATGTTGAGTACTGCATGGTAACAGGAATTATAGATGGATCTTGGAAATGACGGATGCGATGCCAACTTGGTTGATTATTTCTGTGCTTTTGTATGATTACTTTGTAAACAGAATGTCAAATCAGATGTTATAAAGCTATTACTTTAATGCAAAGGATAATGAGATTTCTTTGAAACGTAAACGGTTTGAGTATTTATTACTTCAGTGTTCAACGAAATGCATTACCTTAGGGCTTTTTACCAGCCCTGCCCTTATGTTAACAGGAAGGCCTAGGGAATCAGGTAAAAAACGGAAACGAAAAAAGTTAAAACCAACCTAAAACCTACTGGAACTATTTGATATTCAGGTAGGACCTATATGCTGAACACCCTAATAGCACAAGTACTGGAAAACTTAATCAAATATCATCACTTCAACTTAATCACTGTTCAGAATCTTGACACTTGCTACCTCAAGGCTGCAAAGAGATTAGATTTGATTGGCTTTGATAATTCTACCTGCTGGTATTTTTCCTTTAAGCTCCACATCACCATCAGCATCTTACATTCTCCGGCTACTTCCTTTTCCTGCCTTTTTTGTTTCTATTTTTTTTTTTGGAGGGTGCTAATACTTCGGCTTCTGAAATCTCAAGTTCCATTGCCTCTGCTTTTGTTTCATTATTATTGATTTCTGAGGTCAAAACATGGCATAATAATGCATGAACGAATTGCCAGGTTACAAATTGGTGTGTTCCCAGTCATTGGCTGGGCAATGTTGAGTGTACATACAGCAAATCCTGTGGGACGCGTGACCATCAACCCCACGTTGTGGCATGAGCTGGGATTGATTGTACACGCACCCGAGATGATCCCATGATCCACCTACCTGAGTAGGAAGATGCTTAGAAATTCCATGGTTTTTTGTGTTGCAGGGCCCTGTATTACACCAGAGAATTAAGGTCTTTTTTTTCCCTTTTGGTTTGTTCAGTCTCAGTAGGATGATGACAGTCAGTCATCAAAATTCATGAGGCTTTCAGTGTAGTGAAAAACTAACACCTCTCACTGCAAAAATGACTGAAATCCTTGGGCCAATGTACGGTGATGGCAATACACATCCCAAATTGAATATGGAATTTCCATTTCTTAATGACTTGCAATTACGTAAACAGCAGCACTTGCCATTGGTTCTAGTGTTTGGGGCGGGAATGATTTGGATTTTGCAGTGTATGTGCCTGACGCCTGGATGATGGTGAATTTAATTTCCAGCACCTGTTTTTGCACATAAACTCCCAGTGGCAGTTTTCATTTGTACCAATGTCTCGTTTCTAAAGAATGCTAAACTTGATATCCTGTTTCAGATTAACAGGTATTTATTGGGAGTAGTATGATAGAAGCAAAGATTTTCTAAAATTCAACTTTAAAAGTGAGCATGTAAACTCAATCAAAACAGCATTTAGAGCTTCTTGTCCCAGGTTAGTGACTCTTCATGCAGAACAGTTTTTTTTAAGTCATCTACTTAGAGGATAGGACCTTTGATTCTAATCATAGAGTTATTGTATCTTTTTTCTCTCCTGCAGATGTAAGGTGAAAATAAGCTAGAAAAAAAACTTCTCTCTGGGACATGGATGTACATGGTTTGTTACATTCCTGAACCTACTATGTATGGTGCTTATTGACTGTATACTTTATTTGTTCTCCTGTGTGAAAAAAACTGGCTCAAAAGAACACTTAATGAGAACAAAGAGACAATGTACATTTGTTTAATGTGACATCAAAGCAAGTATTGTAGCACTCTGTGAAACAATAGGAAGCTTCCCTGTCCAAAAAAGAAAAAAAAAAAAAGAAAGAAAAACAGAAAAGAAAAAAAGACAGTTGAATGAATGGAGGATACCAAAAGTACTCAAAAACATGACAAAAATCTAAGTGAATAGTGGATTTCTGTCAGAGCAGTCAACGGTGCTTTACGTCAAGACATGTGCCTGCGTTCTTGATGAAGATGGATGGACACTGATGGACTTCAGGCACAAAAAAAGCAGGAATGTATGAAATGATCAAATGCCACGCAAATACTCTAGAACAATACATCCTTGCTTGGTGGTGTTTTAAAAGTCTATACAAAAAAAAAAACCTTCTGGGGAGCCTTAAGTGGATTTTTTTTTTTTTTACACCATAAAGTGATTATTAAGTTTTCTTTTTACTCTTTGCCTAGCTTTTTATTATCTCTTGGACTACATTTGCCAATAACACATATAAAAGACTGGTGTAACAACAATAAGCAGAACACACAAAACATTATGGTATTTCTCCTAGTGGGATGCAAACTAATGAGATGTATTAAAATAAAAATGGTATACCTATGCATAATTTTCTAGACGTTTCTTGGTTTATGTTCCCCAACCTCCCCCGTAATTTAAAGCATTACATAAAAAGAAAAAAAAAGAGGGAAAAAAAAAAAGAGATGTGCGTAAACAAATCATAGGATATCCATGCAAAAATCTTTATTTTTTTTTTCCTATTAAGTTTTCTTTTTACTCTTTGCCTAGCTTTTTATTATCTCTTGGACTACATTTGCCAATAACACATATAAAAGACTGGTGTAACAACAATAAGCAGAACACACAAAACATTATGGTATTTCTCCTAGTGGGATGCAAACTAATGAGATGTATTAAAATAAAAATGGTATACCTATGCATAATTTTCTAGACGTTTCTTGGTTTATGTTCCCCAACCTCCCCCATAATTTAAAGCATTACATAAAAAGAAAAAAAAAGAGGGAAAAAAAAAAAGAGATGTGCGTAAACAAATCATAGGATATCCATGCAAAAATCTTTATTTTTTTTTTCCTTTAAGACTTATGCCAGTTGCCTACTAGTGATATTGTGTTAGCAATTGTCATCCTTACCAGTATCCGGATACTTTGATTTCACATGTTGGAGCTGTGTGAAATGTACAAATTCTTGTATCTGCATTGTACAATGTCATGGTGGCATGGGAACTACCTTGCTGCAAATATTTGAACAAAACCTAAAATTCTTTATTTTTGGTAAAATGTTATGCTTTATGTGTATTCAACAGAAATATGTGTTTTTTGTAAAGGTGAAGTTTGTATTTTTATCTAAAAATTAACAGTTTTATATACCTGAGAAAGCCTGCTATGTTTTCTTGAACCAAAAAAAAAAAAAAAAAAAAAAAAAAAAGGCATTTTGTGGTCATATTTTTGTAGTAGAATAGCCCAAATAACATCAAAAAATCTATTTTAACTATAGCAGGGCAGATGAGAGACTCTGGCAGCAGCTCCTGTGCTTTCCCAGTGCCAAAGGCTGAGGTGTTGGGTTCCCCCTGGGATGCTGTGGGAGCCCCATGGCTGCTGAATCCTCCTGTGGGGCTCAGGGGACGGGGGGCTGTGCTGGGGTGACACGGCCACTCTCCTGGCCACAGTCACTGCCCCCCTCGCCCCCCCAGTAGTTTGTGTTACGTGCCCTCTGTTTCCCTTGGGGTGTCCCACTGGGGATGTAACACCAACTACTGGATCCTTCTGTGTGTGAAACACCTGCAAAGAGATGAAAAGTCTGGAACAACAACAAAAAGTTTGTCTTGAAGACAGTGTTTCCACTCAAATATGTGCAAATGTGAATGAGCTGCAGAACCTTAAAACAAAGAAAGCGAGAGAGAGATTTCTGACCTTTCCATTTCTTTAAATCTAGTTCAGACATTCCCCCTCCCCTTCCCCTCGCTGTGTCCTGCTCCAGCCCGAGGATGCGGTGGGGGCTGACCTTCCCTGGAGGTAGTCACCCTTCTCTCCTCTCCTCATCTTCCCGCTGTATTTGTTGAGCACCAAAACTGGAAATACATTGAACTGAGATTGTCTGTGCTTGTTTTCCACTAAGTGTACTGTTCACGATGTTATGCACATGAATGTATGTGTCTGCGTTTTAAAAAAAAAAAAAAGTGTATAAAATGTAATTTATATATTTATGTTTCAGTGGGATGCCGATAATGTTGCTCCGTTCCTTTTTTTGTCTAAAAGATATCTAATGAAAAAAAAAAAACCAAACAAAAAAACCATATATATCCATTAAAATGGTGTAGATGAAAACCATGATGTGACCCACTCAGACACTGCGCAGGTATGAAAGGCTGTCCAAGGCTGTTAAAGTCACTTAAGTGGAATAATTTGCAAAACCAGCTTTTTTGTTTTTTTGGGAGGCCTGAGATTGCCCTGGCGTGAGGAGGTGGTGGTGATGGAGATCTGCTGATTGCCATCACCGGGGAGCCTGGCCCTGGGGTAAAATCTTGGGGGGGGAAAAAATAGGTAAAAGCGAGCGGCACGTGTTTTATCAGTGCCAGCGAGTAAATGTGTTACTCAAATTGAGCAAAGCGGGAGAGAACGAAGCCTGAACGGGGCCCTTCCCGCTCCGTGCCTGTTGGAGATGTGTCATCTGGAGTTAATTGTGTGGCCGGGGACGCGGTGTCGTTCCCCGGCGCGGGGTTGCTGTGGCGTGCAGCAGGACACGCAGGCATCTCAGGGCTATCTCCTCGGCCAGCGTGAATTGGCACCTGGTTTTGACTCCCGCTGCCCCCGAGCTCATTTACATCAGATGAGGATGCAGCCCCTGGTTGGTACCACAGGAGGAGGGTGTCCTGAGGTGAGCGTCGCTCGCTGGGGTCCGGCTGAGGTACTGCCCACCAGCCTGGGACCATCACAGCCACTGCTGGTAGCCCTTCAAGGTGGCAGATAACGGCCCGAAGGGAGGGTGCCGCGGCAGGTTGTGAGGCAGGAGACATGGATTCAAAGTTAAGTTGGACATTTCCAAGGGCCATATCCTCAGCTGGTGTAAATCAGCACCACTCCGTTGCCCGCAATGGAGCTGTACCCGCTGACACCACTTGAGGGGCTGGTCCCTCATTCTTGCTCATCCCTTCCACTACTCGGTCCTGCAGGGATCTCGGGGTGTCGTGTACTGTCGATGTAATCCTGTGTTCTCTAATACTTAAGCACAATAAGTGAATATAAGAATGAGTGTCAGACTTAACTTTGAATGTCCGAGCTCTGGAATGGTTTGTTTCACCATTGTGGCTGTAAATTAAACAGTTCTCTGTGCATTTGTGGATGCCGTGTCCTATCTTCTTCCGCTCTCTGCTGGAGGTGGACCCCGTCTGGAGTTGGGGAGCACAGCATTTGGAGTGTTGGAGGGAAGGGTGCAAGCAGTCAGAGCTCCAGGAGACCTGACTGACAGCTCTGTGATTTGGGGGGCGGGGGGTGGCTGTCGGGGACTTGGTGAAGGGCTTGAAGATGATGGTTGTGCGTCACGTTTCCGTGCAGTCCTTTAACACCTTGTCCGTTTTGTCCTTGCACGTACTAAGTGGAGATCTGGGGGCAAGAGGTTTTTCTGTTACACATTCTGCAGTCACTTCCTCTGTCCATTGATTCAGAAGTTGTTGGTCTGATTTTGTCCTTTTTGAGGTCTTTTCTGGTCAGAGGGTGTATGTGTAGGGGACTGCCCGAAAGGAATCTCAGTCTTACAATGTGGTGCTGGTTCTCAGGTCCATCCCTGGTGTTTAATTCTGTGCTTCATCTTCCCAGAGCTGCCCTGTGGCTGCTTTGGTTGAGTGAAACCAAGGATTACGTGCCACTTTGCTTTCCCTTTCTCCTGTCCTCCATCCTGCTTGGCTTCTGCTCTCTCACAGCACACAGTGACTACGGGCAGTGGCTCCTCTCCCACCCTGGAGGTCCCCGAGCAGCTCCAGCTCTTCTGTGTCCTTGAGCTTAGGCTTTTTGCTCTGCTTGGAACAGCATCTCACCGTCTCCTCCCTTCAATGAGCTTCAGCTTTCCAGCTGTGAGGTTCTCCTGGTTGTCCTCCTCCTCCTCCCTGTTGTCTGCTTCCCAGCTGTTCCCTGCCTGCCTTTCCCATCCCTCTCCTTCTGTCCCTTAAAAATGATTTTCCCTTCCTAGGATCTGTCTCACCATAGATCTCTCCTCTCCTCCTGCCTGACGGAACAGCCTTTGATCTGTGATTCAGAAGTTGTTGGTCTGATTTTGTCCTTTTTGAGGTCTTTTCTGGTCAGAGGGTGTATGTGTAGGGGACTGCCCGAAAGGAATCTCAGTCTTACAATGTGGTGCTGGTTCTCAGGTCCATCCCTGGTGTTTAATTCTGTGCTTCATCTTCCCAGAGCTGCCCTGTGGCTGCTTTGGTTGAGTGAAACCAAGGATTACGTGCCACTTTGCTTTCCCTTTCTCCTGTCCTCCATCCTGCTTGGCTTCTGCTCTCTCACAGCACACAGTGACTACGGGCAGTGGCTCCTCTCCCACCCTGGAGGTCCCCGAGCAGCTCCAGCTCTTCTGTGTCCTTGAGCTTAGGCTTTTTGCTCTGCTTGGAACAGCATCTCACCGTCTCCTCCCTTCAATGAGCTTCAGCTTTCCAGCTGTGAGGTTCTCCTGGTTGTCCTCCTCCTCCTCCCTGTTGTCTGCTTCCCAGCTGTTCCCTGCCTGCCTTTCCCATCCCTCTCCTTCTGTCCCTTAAAAATGATTTTCCCTTCCTAGGATCTGCCTCACCATAGATCTCTTCTCTCTGCTCCTGCCTGACGGAACAGCCTTTGATCTGTTTATCTCCAAATCAATTGCTTTATCTAGGCATGTGCCCCGAGATCCCATCTCCCAGGCCCGCGGGCCCATAGCTGACCTCCACCTGGAGGACAGATGCTGTTGTAGGGACACGGGTTTGTGAGGAGAAAGAGATTCATCTTTGCATTTGGAAAAATACTCATTACCAAAGGCTCCCTGCTAAATCCCTGGCCAGTTCCAGCAGCAGCGTGGCTCTGGACTGGCGGTGTTGAAGCTCTTCCAGACATCTGTCAGTTCAATTAAGATCAGTGGCCCCGTTTATAATTTAATTTGTAAGTGTACCCGAAAGCAAAGATGAAATTTCAAAGCTACCTCAGATCGGCACGTTCACATTTTACTGTCATGCGAAGGAAATCACGTTGGTAGGCCCCGTCCAGAGCTTTGAAAGTCTTACCCTGAATATTTACCTGACCCTCTCCTGGGCTGGAAACTGGGGTTGCTTTAAAAACAGAAACGATGTGGGGGTTTGCAGTGAAGTCATTTTCTTGGTGTTTCTAATGCACAGCTTCTGCTACTAGCACACCTCAGAAACAGAGTAAAAATTGTTTAAAAAACAGGTAAAAATCAGTTAAACCTGTAAGAATCCCACTTAAGCTCGCTTTAATTTCAGGTGACAGCGAAAAGCCTGTCAATGTTGCATTCTTCAAGACCCAGGCGATGTCTTGTATTTATTATTTCATTGGATCTCTGTGTGCTTTCCCCCGTTGTAAGAGCGAGGTGTCACTCCCCCTCTGAGCTTTTCCGTCCCGCTCTTGGCTGTAGTGTCTCTGTGGCATGGCCTCGCGCCGGTTTGTCCTCCCATCTCCTCTGAAATAAAGAATTATTGTTATCCCGTTCTAGGCGAGCCCGGGGCCCGGAGAGGTGACAGTGCAGGGTCACACAGCGAGGCCACGGCAGACCCGGGGCGAGGACTCTGGTCGGGGTGCTCATCCAGTGCCCTCAGTCCCACCACCATCTTCCCTTCCCAGGAGTGAATCCTTGCGCCCTCAGAGCTAAATACTGAAAAGACTGAGGGTAAGTCGTTTTGCCTAATTATTGTGCATCGGGTACTTGATGGAAACCCACTGCCCTATGGGCAGGGAACGTGGTGACTGATGGAAGCCCAGCTTTCTGCCCGTGCAGTTGTGTAGCCTCTTGTGCCATCGTGAGCCAGTCCTTTCCTGCCTCTCTGGGGAGTCGGCCTTCCCTGACTTGCAGTGAAAATTACACGCGTAGAAACATGGAGACTCAGATTTTTATGGGAATTCACACAAACTCAGTGGACAATTTCCATTGTGCTTCCATTCGGTTCAGCGTCGTTCATTCCTTTTATGGTGTGGGTAATATTTCCTGAGGGAACTGGTTTTATCATGGGCCCGATCCTGAAGTTTTTTTCCCAGGCCCTAACGTGGAAAAGCACTTTAAGTGGTGCCTGTGTTTGCCCTTCCTCAAACCAGTGCCTGGAACTTCGGACAAACATCCCATTGACCTCCGGCAAACGGAGCAGAGTCATAGAATCACAGAATTGACTCAGCTGGAAGGGACCTTTCCGATCATCAAGTCCAATAGAATTGACTCAGCTGGAAGGGACCTTTCAGATCATCAAGTCCAACCTCGATGCTTTATCACTGGTTTTGAGTAGGGTCTGCCTTCCCAACCCGGGATCCCAGCTGTGGAATGGTGGGCTTCGTGCTCTTAGAGTGTTGTGGTACGTTGTGAGCAGCCCCAAAAATGAAGTAACAAGGCTAGAATATCCAACTAGAAAAACAGCCAGGAGAATCACACTCTCTTTTGCTCCTGTGGAGGTTGTCCCTTTGAAATACATATTTATTCTCCTTTGGGAAGGTTCTTTCCTGGTGTCGGTAGGTTCAAGACTGCAGTTACTGATGCCAGTGATCCCATTTAAGATTTTTTTTTATGTGCCTCAGAGAATATAATTTGCTAACTCACAGTTACATGCCTAAGAGACAAATTTGAGATGAGAAAAAATAATGGGGGCGAATTTCATATGAAATATGGCAAATTTTAGTTTAGGAAAAAAAAAGAGGAATTAGAAAATAAAATGGTTGGCTGTTCATTTTTCATTTGTGGAATGTTACCTGTCCCTTTAGTCATTCCAGTTATGTGCTGCATCAGACAGAATGATGTGCTGAAGTGGCTCACCAATGCATGTGAAAAGTTACGGCAGGTTCTGGTTGAACTGCTCCCTATTATCACGGCGTATGACTGTGAGGTGGGGCCTGCAATCACGGCTGTAAATCAAAGAACAAGGCAGAGGTCAGGTACTGTTTTCCTTAGAGACTGTCTCCAAGGTTTGTTCCCTGTGTGCTGCTTTTGTGAGTGACGTTGGGTGAGCTCTTCAGTTAGGTGTAAAGTCAAGAATGCGTAGTTCCTGACCTGAAACTAAAGAAGTGCTCACTCAGCCTCGTTCATAATCAATAGATGAAATTCTGGCAAAGTCCTGGTGGTAGAATTTCTCTCACCGAAGGTTTCAGTGTCACATTCTTCTAGTGGTCATCTTACCCTACAGGAGAATCACAGAATCACAGAATGACATGGGTTTGGAAGGGACCTCTGGAGATCATCTAGTCCAGTCTCCTGCCAGAGCAGGTCCACCCAGAGCAGGTTGCACAGGAACGTGTCCAGGTGGGGTTTGAACGTCTCCAGAGAAGGAGACTGCACCAGCTCTCTGGCAGCCTCTGCCAGGGCTCTGCCACCCTCACAGGAAAGAAGTTCCTCTTCATGGTCAGATGGAACTTCTTATGAATCCAATCATTACTACATTTGACTCATTAACAATCAGGCCATCAAATCTGACTAGGTTTGAGTTTTTAGCGTCTACAAATTCCTGGTTGGACTGATACTTGTGCATGCCAAATGTCTTCCAGGATCTTAGATAACAATACGCAAAGAAAGGCTGATTTGGGTGCTTCAACAGAAAAGGGGTCCGCATATGAAGGCTGGAGTAGTCCCTCAAGCAGAGAAATAGGGAGCCAAGTCTGTAACAAGAGTTGCTGACTCATCTTCCCAAGATCAGACCTGCTGGGTTGGCCTCTACGTGCTATCTGTGATCTTGCATGATGAAGGCAACTGGTTTTACTGTCCATCTTTGAAATGGAGAGTAGCTGTTAAGGTCAGGTATGCAAAAAACAGAAGCACCCAGAGACGAAGTTGAGCCCATAGTGCTTGAAATCCCCTGGGGATTTTGAAAACGACTTGGTTCTTGAAAGCCATCACAAAGAATAGAAGAAAAGCATTAAAAACACTTCTGAAAATCCCAGCCTGGTTCATTTGGCAGGTGAAAAAAGAATCCAGGAAATACGCTACATCTAATGGTAATTCAGTAAAAAAGTAGGTGTTCATGGCAAATGCTCACGCTTAAGTCTTCCAGCAGTTAATGATCATCTTTATAGACCATAATACTTGAGTACTTCACTTATCAATGCATCAGGGCTTGGATGAACTTTGAGACGTATGAAAATGGGGCACTCCTTAGGCCGATGGTAGCCCTATGTCCTAGTAACTCATCAACCGATTACCTAATTGGTTGAGGTCACTCACTTGCATAAAGAGGTACAACTCCAGTGACTCTGCTGGGGATGACAGTTACCTGAGAACTGACCTGAAAGTCTTGCCACGGAGCAGATAATGGTTTCATATTTTGCTGTTCAGTGGTGTTGTAAAAATAGACTCATTTCCTGGAGCAGTTAAAACAAGAAAACCTGGAAGATCAATTTCCCACAGAGACTCATCCGCGCTGGAATTTGCTGGGGTCCCCGGACATGAACATGTGCTGCTGGAAAACATAAACCAGCAACTTTGTTTAGGGAAGCCTCTGACCTGTCAAAAATGCAAAGCATTTGTTACCAGACTTTTCCTTGGCAATTAGCGGGTAGAATTACTCATAGAAATTGTTTTGTTTGCTCACAAGGGGAGAAGCAAGACATAAATTCAAGATATCCCCAGCTTGACCACAAGAAAGAGGACCGTTCAGAGGGGGCCTGTGGGTGAAGTTCTGGGCGGCCTCCGCTCCCTTTGGGGATGAACTCAACTTGCAGACCTCAGTGAAGCATCAAGAGGCCTCCAGAGCTGCTGGACATCCCCTGACTGGGATTTTTTCCCAGCAATCTGAGGGGTTCGAGCATCTGATTTTAACTTCATTTCTAAAGCAAGTGAAAAAAAATAAAAATCTTAAAATAACACCTTAAAAAGGTGGGAAATTAGGCAGGCCTTATAATCTTGATTCCTTTATCTTGCTTAATTAAGGAGAAGTTTGCCAATAGTGATCTGGTGCTTCCTAAAACAAGCATAGATGGAGAACACTTTGAGCAACTTCAAAAGAATTTTCAGGCTAGATCAGGAAAAGATAAAAGCAGAAGTGGAAACTTCTAATACCCTGTATAGCTCATTACTTAGAGGAAGTACATTGTTGCATGGGACAGTAATGAATTCTGCAGGATGAGTTTTCCAAATGGGGAAAAAAAATAATGTCACCTTCTGTGTCTTGGAGGAAAGGTCTCTGGGTTGTTTCAGTTACGCGGTGGATGGGCACGGTCATATCAGCGGGACAGTTTCTGCCTCCAGGAAAAGGCTTTTTAAAGTTTCAGGTGTTCACGCTGCTGAGTTTCAGCAGCAACTTCCTGGTTGAGGTGTGGAAAGTGATAAAGGGAAGGGTAAAAGTCTCTCTGGTCCCGTTCTGCGCCCGGGGAGGCAGAAATCCCTCGTGGCCGCAGGGAGGGCAGAGGAATGTGTTTGAGCAGCTGAGGATGGATGGGGTAACGCTGGTGCTGGTGAGGCTGGCAAAGTGAGGACAGCATAGTGGTCACTCAGATTTACCAGTGATTTTTACCAGATTTACCAATTTTCACACACTTGTCTGGAAAATTAATATTCGGCAGACTCCTGATTAACCCTAAAATCCTGGGGTTTGTTCAGGGCCTGAGTCCCAGGCTACTGGATTTGCTGTGAGCCAGTTGATGCTCCCAGAAGTGTTGTGAAACAGGAATATTCTGTATTTGTAAAGCACCCGGAAAGCCTACGAACAACAACTAAATATTGGGTTAGTTCTTTGTGCTTCGGGCACCTCAATACCTCTGAGCTTGTCACTGGAGGGCTGTCTTACTGAAAATCAAGAGGTGTTTGCCCTTGTGAAAGTTTCTTCTCGTGCTTGAAAGTGAGACTTGGGCTCCTAAGTCACAAAAGATGCTTTTGCAAATGTTGTATCTCTCTTTCTGCTTCTCTGTAAATTAACCTGCTTGGCCTGAGCTGAATGTTTCCATAATAACCAGCTGAAGGACAGTCTGGTCTGGTGGCTTCTTTCTGAGCTTTTCCCTGATGGAGCCCTTGGGGTTACGTGGCATCTGCTCTGACCTTAAGGACCTACTTTCTGGAGGCTTTTTTAGGAGGCTAACAAACCCCACATTTTAACAAACCCCACATTTTCACTAGCCATTAAATAAGCCAGTCAGCCGTGACTGTTCAGGAGAGGGGTTAGAAGAGTGTTCTTACTGGGATACAGCATGGTCTGTCCACGTACTGGCCAGGGATGAAGGGCTGGAAAACCGGGTGGTGGAAGGGACTATTAATGTGATTTTCCACAACTTTCCTTGCAGCTGCATTTTTGAGGAGAGAGAGAGAGAGAGGAGAGAGATGGCTGGGCTTGCAGTAACATGTTGTGCCGTCATAAATGCTACAGCCACCATCTGTTTCCAGCCCACGACTTGAAAGAAAACTGAGCAGTAATCTCATAATTCACATGAGCGTTTTACACTTGTGAACCCTTCCCAACCTTTGTCTAATAATGAGGGGAGTGCATGGTGCTAAGGTTTGTATTTTCCCTGCACGTATTAGTGTTTATTTGTGTGTCTCTTTCTGTTTTGTTTTGTTTTGTTGTTGCTTTATTTTTTTTTCCACGGACCCATAAAAAAAAAAATTTCTCTGGGAGAAAAATCAGACCAGTTCCACGGTCAAAAGAAACATAATAAAGGTGAAATCTCAATTCCATTGACCTTGCTGGCGAAATTCTCCAGGAGGAGGCACATTTAGCATCCTTCTCTGTGTCTGTCTTGATCCCTTGTGGACTAAAAGCAGGAAAGCCATTAGAAAGTGAAGCAGGAGGTGGCTGAGGAGCTCTTTCCCCCCAGAGCCAGAGCTGCTGGAGTCCCTGGACATGCGCATTTCGAAGCCGCCCCGTCAGATAGGATGGTAATGGTAGGGTGGATTTTAATGAAAACAAATTCTGCTGCTAATCATCTCGGCTCCAGGCTGGCCCTGGGTGGGATCACGGCCACCACCTGCTGTGCCAAAGACACGCTCTGGTCAGAGGCTGCCCGTGGGAGGGGGGGACACGAACATCTGAGGCCAACACTGATGGGTGATGGATGCCCACCCCTCGCAGTGCCCTCAAGGAAGCCGAGATCATTTAGTTGATGGGAACACTGCTCCCCTCCAGCCTGCAAAGCAAGGCTGACATCGTTAAGGATTCCTTTGTGACTCTTCTGCTGTTTCTCTGGGCCTCCTCTCGTCCCCGGACCCAATTGTTCATCTCCTCCGAGCACTGCCGACCTGGCTGACCGATCTCCTGCTCTCCTCTGGCCTTAGGAACAGTGACTTCCATCATCTCCACTGGACTGCAGAGCAGTTTAAGGATGAAAGGGCTTCTTGTTTCGTACATCTCACTGCTGCTAGAACTGTCAATCCTTGCTGGACTGGGTTTGTAGCAAACTGCTACTGCAAACGAGTGGAATTTATTTTGTGTTGTCATATGTATGGTCAAACTGTCCGAGAAGCTGCCAAACAGAACTGAGCTGATGATGGGCAACCGGTTCAGTCTGTTCTCATTTTATTTAAAAATAATAATAAATAATTATCAATCAAAGGAACTTATTTTGACATGTGGTCCCTGTTGGGTGATCCTCAGTGTCTCCAAGATGAGTCCATCAGTGGAAGAAAGCTGCCAGCTGCTGCCAGGTTCAGCAAACGTGGCATGAATGTCCACCAAGAAGAGGTTTGTGGGCTCACTAGGGTTGGGGACAGGTGACAGGACACTCCATTTTTTAGCATCACTTGCTGTTCTGGATGAGTTTGGGGTGCACAGAGGCCATGTCCAGTTGTGTTGACCTCTGCTTGAATCAATGACAAAGCTTCATGGACCTGTGTGCAGCAGTGCTCCTTCCTCTGCCCTGTACTTTGATCAAAGACGGGTTATTGGTGGATCTCTGAAGCCTGGAATGTGTCTATTTTGGTGCCTTGTGATGGTAGACGAGCAGAGAGAGAAGAGAGAAGAGAAATTCTTCAAGCTGATGGGGTCTGAATCATGTATAATTTCTGTATCGTTTTCTTACAGAGCAAACAAGCCTGGAAAGATACCATATTTTTATTTTTTACCCGGGCTAATTAATTATAGCTGGGGGTGTTGTACTAAAGGCTCTTTCCCTGCTTACTCCTGTGGTCCTACCAGCTTCAATCCCACCCCCTCATCTGTAGTTTTCGGCCACATCGGAGGTGTCCTCCTGGCACACGTTGTGGCAGGAGCCTTCTCCTGCTGGGACACGGGGGGGATTTGGTGTCCCCAGAGTTATAATCACCTTCCCCAATGCTTGTTTTTTTGCCTGAGAGGGGGAGAGAGGGGGCACGGGGAGGGCAGTGGCAGGGAAGGCCCCTGACATGAAATTCCCAGGAACGGGATTTGCACATTTTATGACCGTTCAGATGGAAATGCCAGGGAGCTGAATTATTACTCCTTAATCCCGCTTCTCGCTTCCCCCCCGGCAGCCTCCTCCCCTTGTGCTTAGGTAATACAGAAGCTTATAAACAAATCCCACCACAGGAAAAATAGCAAAAGGGGGGGGGGGGGACCTGTTTTGGGGCTGTGATGGATGGACAGGTGGAAGGCAGGCGGCAGAAGGGAGGATGAATGGCAAAAGCCTTTGATGGAAACACTAAAGGGCTATTGAAAATCTGAGGGGTGGGGGGAGGGAGGGGGAAGAATAGCAGGAGGGGGGAAGGCGAGGGAGCCGTGCCCCCCTTCGTCTCCCCCCCCCGGAAAAAGGAGGAAAAAATAATGAAACATTTCTGTCAAAGTCTGGTACTATCATACAGTAAAAAACATAACACCTTTTCTCCACTCTCTTCAGAGCTTCACCAGTTACCTGAATCCAAGAAGAATGGCAGTTGCTATTACAAGGGCAGAGAAGGAAAGAGCATATCCAATGGTGTATATGATGGACAAATTCAGGAGCTGTTCTTCTGGTGCATCCTGAGAGCATATAAAGGAGAAAAGAAAAAAAAATAAAAAAAAAAAAAAAAAAAGGGGGGGGGGGGGGGGAATAAAAAAAAAAAAGGGACCTGTTTTGGGGCTGTGATGGATGGACAGGTGGAAGGCAGGCGGCAGAAGGGAGGATGAATGGCAAAAGCCTTTGATGGAAACACTAAAGGGCTATTGAAAATCCGAGGGGTGGGGGGAGGGAGGGGGAAGAATAGCAGGGGGGGGGAAGGCGAGGGAGCCGTGCCCCCCTTCGTCTCCCCCCCCCGGCCTCTTTCTCAGGATGTTGAAAGTATTTGTCCTTCGTTACAGAATGATTGAACTGCCGCCAGGCCAGGCCACCCTTCCAGCCACTGCACTGGGAAACTGGCACTTCTGAAAGCCTCCTCGCCTCTCAAATTTTATAGCTTTCCCCCAATTTTTTTTTCTTTTATTTTTTCTTTTGTTTTTTCTTTTTTTTTTTTTTTTTTT